GATGATTGTGGTGGTGATAGCAAATGCGTCGTGCTTACTCTAGACCAGGTATTATTCTAAGCACTTTATCTATTAACTCATATCATTCTGACAGTCTAGAAGGCAGGTATACATTTTATATACGAAAAGAAATGAAGCTGAACCCTCATCCGTTGCTTGTGGGAAAACAAAATTGGTGCTCTCCGGCCGCTGCACGCTTTGGGACACGTTTAAATCAAAATAACACCTTCACGGCCACCCACGGGGGTTGGGGGGAGGGTCACCTGAAGCCCCGAGGGAATTGACCCTTCAAATGCGAGAAGGCCTCCTGAGAGGATGAAGGAACACAGACCCACTTGTCTCAGGTGAGATTCCTCAGAGGTAGATGCTGAGGGGGATCAGGTGCGAGGAAGGGAGGGCCAGGGCGGGGTGAGCACGGCGGGGTGGCTGGCTGCAGCCCCCTTCTCATTCTGAAAGAAGGGCACCGCCCAGAGCCCAAGGGATCCGGCCTGGGCAGGAGGCAGCCGGGCTGGGGGCAGGGTTCCTCCTCTGGCTCCGCCCCCAGCGCCTGGCAAAGTTGACGTGGGGATTTCCTCTCAGGGCCAGGAGAGGGCGCAGTTCCAAATGAGCCGCCTGGGAAGGGCAGAGCCCTTTGGGCACAACCCCTTCCCACCTACCCCCCTGCCCTCCACACCAACCTTGTGTGGGAGACCCCCGAGGAGGAGAGTCAGGGAGAGGTGAGGCCTTCAGAGGCCATCCGGAACTTTGTGCAGGGGGTCACCCCAGGAATCCCCATGGGGCCAGAATTAGTCCCCACCCTGCTCAGCCAAGAGGTCGGGTCAATCCTGCCTTGCCCAGCCCTGCCCAGCCTGGCTCCCAGCACTAGCCTGCCCTGGGAACCCGAAAAGAAGCGAGGCATGACTATTTCTTGGTTTTGTGCACTTCTTTGTTGACTGGACATTCTTCCCAATTAGGAGGTGACTTTTTCAAGGGCAGGCCAGGGTCTGTTTGGGTCATTCATGCGTCACCAGCTCTGGAAGATAGGATTCCACTCCCACCCCCACCACACCCCATAGCAGGCCCCGTGCTGGGCTTGGGGATCCTCAGCCTGGGTTCCGTGTCCCCTCGGGCCCTGGCTGTCCTGTTCTGCTCCCCCACATCCCCATGTCCCAGGTGCCCTCACCATGTGTGGCCACCAGGCTGGGCCTGCCCGTCTTCCTGGTGTTGACTCTGATGCTCCTGCGCCCGACCCCTGCCAGCCCTACAGGCTCCTGGCCCGGCCCAGGTCCTGGTACTGGTTCTCAGAAAGGGACAAGTCAAGGGTCTCTCATCCCCTCCTGTTCGCACCGTGTCCTGACGGCTGGGCCTGGGCGAACATGACTGGGCCCTACTGCCCATCTTCCAGGACCTTCCTCCACCCTCCTGTTCCCCTGCCCCGGCCTGATGGCTGATTCTGGCCCCACAGGGAGCTTCCCTGTCCTCCCAGGACAGCACTGCGGGGCTCTCACATGAGCCTCCCAGCCCACTGGGGCTGAGATGCGGTCCCCTGGTACTTCTGCCTTAGTTTTTCCTTTTCTGACATCCCAGGGAGCTGTGCCTCTGCGGGTAGATCCCACTGAGGGCTCCCTCTCTCCACCCTTCTCCTGTCCTCAGGTCACCCCTGAACCCTAAATCTGCCCCAACTGACGCATGTTGGGTCTGATGCCTGGCGGATCTGGGTCTTAAAGTTTGTGGGCTAGAATTCTGACAAGTACCTAAACTGAGCTAAAAATCCAGGTGTTGGTGGGATGAGTACATTTCTGGAAGCTATGGGGGAATCCATTTCCTTCCTTTTTCCAGATTCTAGAGTCCACCCTCATTCCTTGGCTCATGACCCTTCCTCCATCAGCAAAGCCAGCAGTGGCAGATGGTGCCTTCCCACATCACATCACTCTGCCTTCCTCCTCCGGCTCCTTCTGGTATTAAGGACCCTGTGATACACTGGCCCACCCAGATAATCCGGGATAATCTCATCTCCTACCCTGAAGTCTGCAGAATCCCTTTGCCACATGAAGTAATCTGTTCACAGTTTCCGGAGATTAGGAAACAGACATCCTTGAGTTCCATTATTTTCCTCGTACAGGTAACGTCCTTGGAGAGGGCGGGTAGGAGATAAACCTTCTAAGCTTTCCTGCCTGGGAATGACAAAATCTTGCCTTTCGTTGATGGTTTGCTGGGTTTAGAATTTTAAATCTAAAGTAATTTTCTCTCAGACCTTGGAAGACCTAGCTGTATCACTTTCTAGTGTCCGATTCTAGAAAATTAGCGTTCTATTGTTACTAATAGTAGTGGTCCTGAAATTTTTACTTAGAATTGGTGCATGAACAATAGTTTGGCTGGAAGTAGGTGGCTTGAATCTGCAGCTGTGAGAGTCTCTTCTGGGAGCCTGTGAAAATATCGCTCGTCCAAACCACACCCAACTGTATTCTTGTTTTGGTTTTCTGATTACAAAAGTAAGTGGCTAAAGGGAAAATCTGGAAAGGACTAACAGGTATAAAAAAGGTGGTAATCCCAGGGGTAACAAGTGTTGATATTTTAGTGTCTCTATACGGGTACCCAGCTCTCCGTACAATAAAATATATACAACACTCTGAATTGTGTTTCCATTTAGAACCTGCCAGAAATACTTCAATTTCTCTGTAATTATTCTATGAAACATTTGTCAAAAGGGAAATAATAATCTTAGGGGCTGTCCAAAGATCTGTTTTGGCTTTCTACAACTTTTTGGAGAAAAAGAAAAGGAAGAGGAAAAAAATGTAGGAGTGGTGCCACCCATAATATGTGCTGAAAAATAACGAGCATGAGCTCAATAAACTGATAAGTAACCTATAAAAAACGAGGCAAAAAAAGCATCTTATGACTCAACAGGATGAAGCTGCCGGTTTAACTGTCTTAGCAAATTTGAGAACAAAAGAAAGGCCCTGTTAACCCTGGACAGTGGGAAAACATACCATAGGACATTGGTCACTTAGCTACCTCCCACCCCCGTCAGATAGGGTCCACCACGTCCCCACCATGCACGTCCCCCCGGCGGTCGTGCACTCCCAGCTTCAGTTGTAGCGGGACAGGCAATTCCACTTGCAAACCAGGTCAGCGCCCACTGGCCAGTGATGGGGTCCCGGCTGGGGGCGGTGCAGCCCTTGTGTCCAGGAGTGCCCGAGGCCACTCTCTGGGGGCTGGGTCACCTTTTTGGTGGAAAGCAGCTGGAATGTGAATGCTGAAGGTTCCAGGACCAGGTGCTGTGGGGTGATAAACCCTGAGTTTCCCCACCTAGGAAAGGCCCTCCCCCATCACTCCTACCTGAAGCTCCCCAATTGCCTTCCCAGGTCAGCTGGAGAGGTCTTACCATCTTTGGCCTGTCCCAGGACAAGTACAGGGAGCGAGGGCAGTGGCCACTGGGGTCGAGGGTTGCCCCTGCCTGTGCTTACCCAGCTCCCGGGGCTCCGTGTGCACCAGCTAGGCCCATGGTTACCTGGGTCTGTGCCGAAGATGACTGCAGTGGCCCCGGGACAGAGTATCGAGGGGTTCACTGTCTCCCCAGCCTTGGGCACCGATTTCCAGTGGGGTCGCTGGATGTCTTCACCGAGTGGGCCTGCTGTGTCACTCACAGGGAGAGCATGTGCTACTCGGTCCCGCTATGGCCTCGTGCGCCAAGCCTGCAGGCTGAGGGCCCTCCATGTGGGAAAGCCCACGTTAGTGATAAACTGTGACAGTCGGCCTGGAGGGCTGTAAAGGGGGTGATGAGCAGGAGTGATGGGGTGGAGGGAGCAGCAAGCCCCCAAAAAGAGACAAGGTCTCAACTGAGGCCTGGAGGAAGGCAGGAGTCAACCAGGAAAGAGAGGAACATTCTAGACCAAGGGAGCAGCACCTGTAAGGATGGAGGCGGCCAGAGCAGAGTGGGGACATAGTGACGGGGGTGATGGAAGGGGGGCCCTGCAGGGGTGGGGTGCCCGCTGGGCCAGGACCCTAGGAGCACTGGGAAGCAGTCAGGGGTGCTGAGCTGCCAGGCGGGGAGTGGAGACTTCCATCTGGTTTGGGGGTCGCCCACCAGCATTCACCCACCCTCCCTGTTTGGGGAACCAGGCCTCCTCCTGGGGCTCACAGGTGAGTAAGGAGGATGGGCGCTGTGGGTGGGGAGCAAGGGCAGATCTAGACTGACGAGAGCCCCTCACGCCTTCCTGCACTCACAGCGCTCGTGGATCTGGTGAAAATGCAGAGCTGCTTGGATAGTTCTGAGGTGCCTGAGTCAGCCCCGCAGGCCTGGTCCCTTGGCTGTGCTGAGGCTGGGTTCTGGGACCCCAAATTGGAGTGGGGCACAGACACTCTGGATGCTGCCCCCTCCACCAGGCAACCTTGTGAAGCTTGGAGCCCCCACGCCCCCAGGACAACCCTCAACCTCAGGGAGTCAGGAGACGCAGTCTCGCCCGGGTCCTTGTCCTCCTCGGGCGATGCTGAGGCGCGTCCCGCGGTTTCTCAGGGGCCCCCAGCCAGACTGCACCTCAGGTACCCACAAGGGTAACCTCCACATCTGGGCCTCACTGGTTTCGTCCCTCCTTGCCTCAGTTTGCCCACTCTTCCCTCGGGCTTCTTGGCATCACCTCCCAAATAAACTACCTGCACCCCCATCCTGGTCCCAGGTCAGCCTTTGGGGGACTGTGGCAAGACCAGGAGCGTCTGCGTCTGTGTGATGGGGAACAAGGCAGGAGCGCTAGGAGTGCTGGGGGTGTTTCCTCACAGCACCCCCACTCCAGCCTCCCTAGCCCCCAGGGACCCTGGTGCTGCTACTGTCCTTCCATAAATGATCTTTCTGATTGAACTAACCTGAGAGGGTTCTGTTGTTTGCAACCCAGACCTATACAGTGCAGATGGGTGGACAATGACTTAGGAGTTAAGGAGTGATCTTGGGGTGGACGGGACCTGGGTGACCATGAGGGTGTCCAGGAAGCCACCTGGGTCCACAGAAAGCTCTGCAAGGCATCGACTTGAACACGCACATATGTTTATTACAAGGAGACAGAAGGGGACAGGCCTGACTCAGCAGATGGCCCCAGCTCCCAGGGGACACCTGTTGGGCTCAGGCCAGCGGAAGGAATGGGGGAGCCCAGAGCAGAGGGAGGAGGAGCATCAGCGGCGGGCTGAGGTCTGGCCTGTGAATGCTGTTTTTGACCATAACCATTCGGATCCATTCGTAGTGCGAGCTAACGTTGGTGTAGACGCCGGGCCGGTTGGGCCTACCGCAGCCCACTCCCCAGCTCACGATTCCAATCTGATACCACACCCCTTTCTTTTCGCAGGCCAAGGGTCCGCCTGAGTCACCCTGGGGAGCAGCATGGGTGAGCCCAGCCTGGGGCAGGGCTGGAGGGGTGGGCAGAGAGGCTGGGAGAGCAGGAGGGGCTGTGGAGCTGGACAGACTGGATGCAAACCCCCTCCTCCCCCTGGAAGTGACCAAACCTCAATTTCTGCATCTGCAAAATGGAACAATAGTCTCTACTCCCCACCAGGGTCAACATGAGGACCAAATGAAGTGCAGGGATACAGATTTCTCTCAGGCCTGGGGCTGGGGTGGTGGGATACTAGGGCCTAGGAGCCCTGGTTGGGGATGGAACACTCACAAAGCAAGCATCCTTGTCGCCTTGAGGATCGCCAGCACAAACCATGTCTCCCCAGATGTCATGGCGGAAAGAGGGCAGGGAGAACAGGTGGTTACACATGGTGGTGTTTATGATGCCGACCTCCACTTCCTGGAGGATGTAAGGAGATGGTAGTCCTGCCGAGGAGTTAAGGGGACAGAAAAAGATGGCATCCTGAGCCTCACCTCTGCCATCTGGTTGGGAGGAATGGCACTGGCTATGGGGGAGAGGGGTCCCTGGGGCACCCACAGTGGCTGGGACACTGCCTTTGATCCCTCTGCTCAAGCCCAGCCCCCAGAACGTCATGGGTGAGGAAAAATATCACAGAAGGATCTAATGGATGGGCAGGCGGGTACAGCACCTTCCTGAGACTCAGTTTCCCTAACTGTTGCAAGCAGATGACAGGCCCTGTCCCAGGCAATGAGGACAACCTTAACACTCGCAGGGGCGGGGCTAGTGTAGCTGAAATGGTTTAGGATTAATTCAGTCCCACTGTAGCACCCAAGTGCCTGAGCAGGTGGAACCACCCTGGGCCTCTCTCGGTGCATTTGGACATTCCCAGGGCCAGAGCCCACAGCTCTACGATGCACTCCTGCAGTACCCCTAGGATGCAGTGCAGTCATGCCCAGTTCTCAGGTAAGGAAAGATTCCGGAGCAGAAATGCCCTCCCCTGACCCCAGCACAGTTCCCAGAGTAGTGACAGAGCCTATGTGAACCCAGGTCTGTCCAATTCCTAAGTCTGGGCCCAAATCACCTCCTTATCCCACAGAGAACGGTGACCACAATTACACCAAAAGCTGATGTGTAAGTAGAGCTTCCAGTCTGCTTGGCACTCTGCTAAACCCTCATATATGGACACTTTCAAGACTTGGAACCACCATCTCAGGTGGGAACTATTATTACCCCATTTTATAGATGAGGAAGCTGAGTTAGATGAAGTGCTTGCCCAAAGTTTCCCAGCCAGCACACAGTACATCTGGTTTGGGGATGAGGACTTGGGGCTCAAGAAGTCACCTGTGAGAATGAGGGTTGAACAGGGAGCTGGATGTGACCACCAGTCAGCTGGGGTGGGAAGGGCACAGAGTCTGCCTGGCTGGGCCCCTCAGCTCACACCCATTCAGCTCTTTGGGCCCAGGGAGTCTGCACAGAAGCCCTTTCTCTAGCCCCTCCCAGGGAAGGGAAAGGATGGGCTGTGTCTCCTGTGGACTCCTCTATCCCCCCTGCCAATTCCAGATGTGTGACCTCGGGGACACATTCCCCTCTCTGGGCCCACGTTCTGGCTTCTCCATTGACCCATGGGGCCTTAGGCAATTTCCTTGCCTCTCCAAGCTTCCTCATCTGTAAAGTAGGTATAAAAATGTTTCCAGCCTTATTTGTAGGTAGGCTCCTGAAGGAAGAGAGTCCCTGGAGCCCAGAACAGGGCCGAATATACACAGTGCACAAAAGGAGCTTTATCTGTTATGATCGCTGTGGTTAAGGGTGATGAAGGAGTGGGCTGGGCCAGGGAGTGGAGTGAAGGGCAGTCTAATTGGTGGGGCTAGAGTTTCAAAGGATTCGTGGTGAGAGAGAAGCGGGTGAGAGCTCCCGCCAGCCCAAGGACCCCTGCAGAGATTTAGCAGAGAGCTGAGGCTGGAGTGAGGCTTGAAAATGCAAGGAGAGACAATGAGATGGATGTAGAAGAATGGGGGAGGATGCAGAGTGGGAAGGCTGCATGGCTAGGGGAGGGGAGAATGCTTGAATAAATAAATCCCTGAGGCCTTTCTGACATAGCCCCCTCCCCCCAACCCCTTCCACCCTGTGGGCTGGGGGTGCGGGCCTGGGCCAGCTGGCCTCCCTCTCAACTCTGCTTCTGGCTCACAGTCTCCGGAAGGGCTGGGGAGCTGAGTGTGGGTCCAGGAAGGCCTACCCTGTTACCTAGGAGCAGGAGTGGAAAGCAAGTGTGGAGAGAATGCCAAAGAAGAGGCACAGCCCAGGTGAGGACCACTGAGGTCCGTGCAGCTAAAACAAGTGGCCAGTGGCAAGGCCCCCTTCCCCACCAGACCCGTCTGCCCCTGCCTCACCTTGATCTTCTTTGATGTCCCCCCAGCCGGTCACCCAGCAGTCAGTCCGGTTCTCGAACTCGTAGTTGTTGGCCAGGACACAGATGGGCTGGATATACTTATTGTAGCTGACGGAGGTGGACAGCTTCAGCAGGGCAATGTCAGACGAGGAACCCCCCACGTATCCGTGGCTCAAAAAAATCCGCTCCACCTGGTAACGGTTGTAATAGGCCTGTAGGTTCCAAATGGACGGCATGGAGGATAGCTCACCAAACTGGGCTGTCCATTCGTAGGGATCATTGTTCCTGGCGGGGGGAAGAGAGCAGTCAGGAGTTCTCAGAGGGATAG